CCGCCGCTCCCGGCGCCGGGCTCACCTCGGCCTCCTCCTCGGCCTCCTCCTGGGCCTCGCGCCGCGGGCGCCATCTTGGCACGCGGTCTCCCCGCGAGGCGGGGGCGGCTCCGCCCCAGGGAGGGCCGCGGGCAGCTCCGCCCGCCGCGCGCAACTGTCTTAAAAAAAAAACTTTTTTTTTTTCCTTTTTTCCACCTCTTTTTGAAGTGAGCAGCCCTTCCCAACATCATTAAATTCCGGCAAACTCACGTTAAAGTTGTCTGGCCGCTTCGAGGCCGCCCGARGCGTCCCGAGAGCTCCCCAGGAAAAGAAGAGGTGAGAAAATAAGTTTAATAAGTTTTTTAAAAAAGGGAAAAGAAAAAAAAAAAAGCCTCTGGAGAATGCGGGCATCGATCCCGCTACCTCTCGCATGCTAAGCGAGCGCTCTACCATTTGAGCTAATTCCCCGCGCGCCAACGGCCGCCGCGCTCCGCCTCTCATCGGCGCCCCCTCCCCCGCGCTTGTTGTCAGGCAGTTTGGCCGCCAAGCCCCGTCTGGGGGGTGGGGCCCCTCGCGACGGCCAATGGCGAGAGCTGGTGGGCGTGGCCACGGAGAGGTGTCCGTTACGGGCGCCCGCCCCTCCCGCCGCGAGGTCTCATTGGGCCTAAGCGGCTCGACTCCGGATTGGGTGGGAAGGGTTTATTTTTAAAAGGCACCCACCCTTGCGATTGGTCCAGCGAGACGCCTGTCAGAATTACGTTCCGCTGTTGCTAGGGCGTGAAGGTGGGAAAGCGGCGGCTTCCTCCCCCGCACTTTGACTGGTCAAAGGGCAGCCCAGAGCCCGCCCCATTTCTCCTTTAGCCCCATCGCGACGCCGCATCGGCGTGACTGACACCCGCAGGAAGGCCAATGAGAGGCCGAGCCCCACGCAGCCGCCAGTAGGAAGGCGCGAGCCGAGGCCGGGGTAGGGGGCGGTGGCGGGGCGGCGTGATTGGCAGGCGGGGCGGGAGAGGAGGGCTGATATGTCCGCCATCTTGAAGCGTCGGTGATGGTGGCGAGCGGCGCCTTTCCCGCCTGAGCCGAGGCAGCCGGGGCCTGTGGCGGGGGTCGCGCTTGCCGAGGTACGGAGGCGGCGCGGCGCCCAGCGGAGCCTTCCCGCCCGGGGATGGGCCTGTTTCCTCTCTCCTTCCGCGCGGGGGGATCCGGGGCCCCGGTGAGGCCGCGGCCTGGCGGGGCCGTTGCGGCCGTTGCGCGCGGCGCCCCCTCCCCTCCCCTTCGCCCCCCAACCGCCTTT